CTTAATTTGTTGCTTTGATTTGGTTCACGAGAATCATTTGAAGATAATTAGATTATTGGAAAAATCGCATAAAATCCTTTGAATTTAATTTGTTTTCTTTGATTTGGTTCACGAGAATCATTTGAAGATAATGATTCTTTTTAAAAAAAAAATATAGTGTTTTCTCGTTTTTTTATAAAACAAAAAATTATTTATTCTTGAAATTATATTTATTTTATCTATTATTCTTATATTAATTTTATTTAAATTTCATTTTTGATTTATTTAAAATATTTTGAATTTTCTTATTTTGGGATTTTTTTATAATTTCTTTTAAGTTTTTCTTATTTTTAATATTTTATTAATAAAATAGTTTAATTATTTTGCGATTTTTTAATGTTTATGATTTTTCTGATTTTTTGTGATTTTTCTGATTTTTTTCAATTTTTAATGAAGTTTAATGATTTTTTAATGAATTTTTATATTTTCTGTATTTTATATTTATTTTTTCGTAAAATATTTAAAAAAAAAAAAAAAAAACCGACACGTCATCGCTTTTGAACAGTACCGGTCACATTTTTAACTTGATGAACAAGTAAGCCAGATTGGAGGTTTAATATGCTAAATTTGCCAACTTGAGTGTTTAAAGTGCTTGTAAAATACTCTCGGGGTTTAAAGTGTAAGTGATTGCCACCTTGAAGGTTTTTTATGCGATTTTCCCTTATTTTTTGTATCAGGTTTCAAAATTTTTCATTTTACAAATGGTCTGTTTACCGAGTACTCTCATATTTCTTTTATCAAAGATGACTGGATTAGTAGGTAAGAAAAGAGAGAGGAACATATGCCGACCAGCTTTGTATCATTAAAGACAACGCACCATGTCTCATTCTATAAATAATCGCAATCGATTCCTTATGTTAGCCAATAATTAGCTTAATCCTTTGTTTAGCCCTCGTTGAAGAATCAAATCAAATGAAATAAGTTGACGAGACTTACTTTAGCCATATCAGACATAAGGAAATATTTGTAGCGAACTTGCCACGTTATATCTGCAATATTTGTTTTCTCATCAAATATCTATAATGACTGGTATAGAATACTCCCAATGATCTTATATGACTTAAGAGTCACTTATTTGAAGCATAAACCTATGAAATTGAAGAACAAATCATACGTGTTTCAAAAAAAAAAAAAAAAAAAAAAAAGAAGAACAAATCATACTTCCCATTAAAAACGCACAACACAAATGAGATAATATATTTTTTCTAAAAAAAAAACGTAACACTATCATATTCAACTAAATCATAAATTAATTAATTATATCTTATTTTTTATTTAATGTAATAATTTTGAAAACAATTGAAATATTTTTTATATTTAATTTCGTAATACTTAAACAAACTAGTTATTTTCCCTCAAAACAGCAACCCTGACTTATACAAGAAACTGGAACTTTAATAGAACAACTGCTACATGATCTAGGTTTTTGACATCTATCTGATGGAGTAATTGTCACGGCACTGAAAAGTTAAAGGTTATATTTTGTGTATCTAATTAATTACCGAGATCTTATTTGAACAAGTGATTTACCACAGAAAACGCCTAAATATATGTTGCGTTTGCTCAATCCAAAGTATTAATCCAATATTGTTGTCTAGTCTATTAATATTTCCTCTATTTCATTTTAGTTATCATTTTAAATTTGTGCATACAAATTAAAAATTATTTAATTTTTACATATTTTTAAAATATAATTACATATACATATAACCACATTTTAAACAATAGAAAAATAAAAATAAATAAAACTAATAAATTCTACATTGAAATTATAAAACGATATTTATTTTACCATGATTTTATTTTAAAAAGACAAATAAATTGAAACGAAAGAATACCAAATAAAATAATAGATGCTCTCAGTAGGCAACAATATATGTAACTTCATAAGATTAATTCACTTGCTATGAAACAAAAGATTCATATATATTAGAATGAACCCACCAGATCTGGGTTTACACTAGCGCAAAACTCTGTATATATAATTACGAATAGTTGATAGCACTCCCTTGATTAATTAAGTACAAACCTATAAATTAGTAAATAATGACTTTAGAAAGTGACCTTGAAAATATGACCTACTTGAAAATGAGACGTGTCATTTTTTATACCAGGTTTTCATATTTCACATTTTATAATGGGAAAATTGATTTCAAAAATAAGCCATTCAAAAGAGGCCATTTAAACCGTGAACTCTTAGTCAAACACGAAAAAATCGTGAATTTTCGTTGACCAAACCTTTTTAACCTCACAATTAATCATCCGTTCACTTTTTATTAACAAAAGAACTGAAAAATTAGGAATTTGATAGAGAGGAATTGGGGCTTTTCGTGTTTTGATTAGGGTTTTTCGATTAGGCAAAACAAACTCGTTTAATAACTAAACGTCTGTTAACAAAAAGTTAACGGATGATTAATTGTGAGGTTAAAAAGAATTGGTCAACGAAAGTTTACTATTTTTTCATGTTTGACTAAGAGTTCACGGTTTAAATGGTCTCTTTCGAAGTTCAAGTTTTTTTTTGCTTATTTTTAAAAGTTTAGGGTTAAAAAGTCAATTTTCCCTTTTATAAATGGTTTAAGTACCGGTTGAGTACTCTCATCTCATCTGTCATAATCACATAACATAATTAAACTAGGCCAAAAGAAAATAGAAAGGAACATATGCCGACCTACACTGTATAATTAAAGACAACGCACCATGTCTCTCCTCCTACAGATAATCCCAATCCATGCCACATGATTAACTAATAATTAGCTTAATCCTTTGTTTAATACGTTCTTCAAATAACTGAGTGGAGAGGAGAATCTAATTAAGCACTATAAAAATGAAAAGAAGTTGACGAAATGTAAAAGAAATACCGAGTTGATTCCATATTTGGTGTCCCAAAACTTCAACACAATCTTAAATTAACAGTCTCTTTATAATAATCACTACTTGTCCGAGATCCTTAGCCGCAACAGTAAAAACAAGCGAAGGTAAAAAAAATCAAATTCCAAAAAAACTCACCACCTTACAATTTTTTCCCTTCGTAACCCCAATATTTTAAACAATTTAATCTTCGATCCCTCTAATTTTAAAAATAGTATTCCGCACCCTACTCAGATCTCTCCCTTTCAACGTCCTCCCAGCACCTTCATGAACCGAAAACGAAGCCATCCTCCGGCTCGCTAGCAGCTCATGCGGCGGCACCCGCCGTGTTCCTCCACCGCATGCATCAACTTCGTCACCGTCGTATTCCTCGTTAGAAGTCTGCCTCCGTGGACTCTCTTCCCCAAGGATCTTGGACCAGTCAGGCACGTTGACCGGGAGAGAAGACGCAGCTGAACCGGCGAATTTCTCTGGAACCGAACCGCGACGAGGCTTCCGGTTAGTTCCGGTTCGGTCGGAGGTGATTGTAAGGTCACTAAAGGAGAAACAGGATGCGGAATCCGAACCGGTGTTGAAGAGGTCCCACTCGTCGAGCTCGAAGTCGGAAGGGGGAGAGACGTGTTGGTCTGTGGAGAAGAATCTGTGGCTTGGCCGTTGATAGTAGCATTTGCTCGTTGCCATTTGAGAAGGAAGGAGGAAGAGGAAGAAGAAGAAGAAGTTTTTGGTTTAACTCTCTTTTGTTTCTTGGTTTGCTTCTTTTTATATATAGAAGGCAAGGTCAATGGATAGATAGACTCACTAGTTACTAAACTAGCCTTAGAAATTTTGCAGAAGTCTTTTTTTTCTCTTTTTTTTTGTGATTTATCGAAACGAAACGATGATTGTCTTTGAATATAATAATATTAGTGTAAATTTTAAATGTACCGGAAGTTTTTTATGCTTTTCTTCGAAATTTCGTACTTATATTCAACAGAGGGCATCAGCTTCTATTCGAGCCATTTAACCCAATCACATACTCAGTACTTAGCTTCTTCGTGAGTCAGTGTTTAACCTTTTTCATAAAAGTAAAATTTTAAGAGTGTCAAAGATTTTAATTTGTTAATATAACTTCAAACACGTTCAATCAATTTTGTTTACTATGTATTTAAATTAAAAGAACCAGAGCAACTAACTCATTTTTTCGAAAAATCGATTTTGTATTTAAAATTCTTCAATTTTGTTTTTATTTAATTTATTGTTTTTCATGAGTTTAGTACGGTAAATCTATTTTGAAATAAATTATATTAGAAATTATATGACATTAAAATTATAAAATATTTTAATACTTTTCATTTTCATTGATTTTTTTAATTTCTTAATATAACTTCAAACACGTTCAATCAAAAGGTTTTACTATGTATTTAAAGTAAAAGAATCGAAGCGAAACTAACTAATTTTCTCGAAAAAGAGATTTTATATTAAAAATTCTACACTTTTGTTTTTATTTAATTTATTGTTTTTCATGAGTTAAGTGTGGTAAATGTATCTTGAAATAGAGTATATTAGAAATTATATGACATTAAAATTATAAAAGATTTTAATACTTCTCTTTTTTGTTTTCAATACTTCTCATTTTCATTGGTTTTTTTAATTTGATTTTTTCTTCATTTCCATATTTTTAAGTACAAATTACATTAAAATTTTGATCTGAGCCTTGATTATCTTATATCCGATTCTGTGGATAATACTTTAATCTACTGTTTAAGAACCAAATAATGTTTTTTCTTCTTCTGTCGCCAAAAACTGATGCTAAAGTCTTTAAAGCTCTCTTAATATTTAAGGATAGAAAATCAAGCTAATGCTTTTATGGAAACGAGTAACAGATTTCTTTGGAGGGACTGGAAAAAGATGATCTGAAACGTGTTACTCATTCATATGTTCACGTAATCTTGATGCAGTAACACATGTCATTATCCTTAAACCAAGACAAGAGGGTAAAACTGTGAATGTAGATAAAAAAGGTCCCAAGAGATACGACAGAGTATTGTACGATGAGATGGGAGGTGGGTTCATGTTCTGATGTTCACTAGTCCGAACCGTAAGAAAATTCATCCTTTCCTAAAAAAAAGACAAAACTATAAAAAGTGGTCCTAAGAGTTCACGCGTGGCTGTTCCACCGTCGTGATCCACGTGGAGAGATGAGCTTTCGTGTACAACTCCGTGGCGTGAAGGCACGTGATTGCTTCCAGTTCATTGGTCCATAACGACGTCGTGTTGCAGGCTGCGAATCACAAAAGCTTTTCTCCTCCCTAAGATAACTTGGTAGACGACAAAGTTTAGTTCATTGGGGAACGCAACATTAATATCTGAAAACGGTATGGTCTGTTCATCTCTGCGAGGAAAATGACACAGCTTGTTTAACGCGTCTGCCTTATAATTGGCTCTGTACCATTATAATTTTCTAATTTATACAAGGGCCGGCCCGCTCAGTATTTCAATATACAGACCCATCTCGTTAATTTGGTGGTCCTTGTATAAAATATAACATTACAAAGAGTAATTGCACTAGAAGATAATCCGAGTTTAAATGATTGAAAAGCCCTTGATGTTTTTGTTTTTGTGTTTAAATTTTTTTGTAGAGTTAATTAAATTTTGAACATAAGATAAACTAAAATATAAAATATGAGTGATATAATTTTATTTCAAAACAAATAAATATTAAAATAGTTAAAAAATAAAACTAAGAAATAATAAATACGTGTATTTTTAATGTGTAAAAACCATCCACCATTTAGATACAGAGAACATATATTTTTGAGCACAAATTAGCAAAATGACATACGATCATCAGGTTTAAATAGTAACAATATTAAATTTCTTGTATATCATCTATTTATACTAGGCATGATGGATTCCTAGTGGTCTCGAGACATTTAGCCAAATGGTCATGTGGTTTATATTTTTGATTGTTAAGACAACCATTCAGAAATCTTTTAGGTAAAGAAGGGTATAAGTCTATAAGATCCCGTGACACTCCTCAAGATTCGGGAATAGCTAGATCGCTATTTGGGAAAGTATTATCTGTGTTGGAACTCGGAAGGGTAGGTCCTAATCTTAAGCCATTTAAGCTTGGGCATGCAGCCATCAAAACTCTATTTACATTTAGCTGCTGGAATTCGTATACAAAAGGTTGATTTAGACTCTTCTCACCAACAAGTCCTTTTTTCTTCTTTAAAACATTGACTAAGATTCGGCCATAATGCTGGTAGTATAAATGAAGCAATTGCTTCGTGCATAGCTGTTTTTCAAGCGAAGCAACTGGGAGTCTGGGATAAAAATATGTTACTTTCTGTGGTTACTCAAAAACAATTCTTCAGCATCATTCAATGATATCGATCTACTCGCCTTGAGGACGTTCTCAAGATATAGTGACCTTCCCGTTACTTTTTACTCACTTTAGTTAAGTTCATCTGTACACAGAGATGCTGATTGATATATACTAGCAAAACTTCTAAAGTATAGCTAATTAAGATTTCTAGTTTTTTTTTTTTGCTTCATATGCATCGTTTATCTTTGCAAACTCTATGCATATCTCACCTTGCGAGGCTGTGATTTCTTAATATTAAGATAATGAAAAGTAAAATCGTAAATAGGTTTCTTTGATCAAATAACACATCCAAAAACAGATTTCTTGCAAAAGTTGTTGTGTATAAAATTAAAGTCATTTAGTAGCGATAGAAAGTTGAAAAATCTCAAATGTCTATTAATGAGAAGATGGGAAAATCCTGTGAACAAAAAGAGTAGCGGTGAACAACTCAAGTTAAAGTCATGTCACGAATACATGTGAACGCAATTAAAAACTCACAAGTCACACAACTACACCAGTTTAATCTTCCTCTCCAGTCTCCACACACACAATGGAAGTGTAGGAAACAATTCATTCTCCCTTTCATCTCAATATTAATAATACAAATTATATACCAAACAAGAAAATATACAAATCAGATCACAAAATAAATGATAAAAATAGAAAATGTTGACAATATATTCATGATGATAAAGAAACAGTTGACTGATTATTCTCTATTTCGTATGAAAATAATAATGCACATACTTTTCTTCATTATATTAATTTGTATCTCATTATTTCCACTTAACTACAGAAAACATATAATAGTTCTACATTCAAAATTGGGGTTCCCTTAAAATTATAAAACTTAATTTAAAATAAAGTAACCAACAAAATTTGGTAAACCATCATTTAAATGATAGGGATGAAATGCTATTATTTGTAAACAATGGCAATTCCATAAGAAACTAATATGAATAATTAACAACCTTACAATCCAGGAAGCACATGATAACAAATTTTTATTTCTTTTTAGGTGATTATTTCATAAAAATGCATGATTAAAACCTAATTTTCTTAAGAACTCCAATCAGATCAAATATGTAAGCGTAAGTTAGAAGATTCAATCTCGTGAGCAAAACTCACAACATAAATTAAGGCGTGAAGCAAAAAAATGCATGCTTGACCCCTCTTGTGCCATACAAATAAAAAGATCGATTTTCTGTTCTAAGGCAGGTGTGTTATTATTACAGTCACTCACTCATATAACCACAATAAAAGTTGTTGCTGATCCTTCAAGGGAAGAAGTACTTGAATTTAATTATAGGATGCCAAAGTTTAATGATGATTTCTACTTTTCACTCGTCTATTTCCTAATTATGCCTTAATTAAAAAGACGATGATGCTACCAACTAATGGTAGTAATTATCTTATATAGGACCAGATCTACTCATAATTTCTAATTAGTAGTTTAGTTAAAAGCATAAACTCAGCATGTTACCTTCATAACACCAATCTTGTGGTTATTGGATTGGGTAAGAAACTAGACGGCTTTGACAAAATCTTGAGACATTTTGGGTCTAGAACAAGAAAACCAAAAGATTGTAGGACCACAGAAAAAAAGAAAAATAAGTTAGGGAAAGGTCGAGATATCATGAGAAATCATTTTGTTCCCTAATTCTATAAATCTTCTCACCACCCAAAACTAGTCCCAAACAACAACCACTTTGTTACACAATCACCTTATAAATACCAAACCTTACTTCAAAGTCTCAACAAACACACTAAAATACCCCACCTGCTCAACAACTTATAGCCTTCTACATAGAGTGAAGCTGAGTAAGAGAAATGGTTACAAAGACTTGCCTCGTTTTCTTCTTTTCTTCTCTAATCATCACAAACATCGCCTTAGCGCAAAACCGAGCTCCTCACGGGTTGTCTTATGAGACACCAGTGGCGTTTTCACCTTCTGCATTTGACTTCTTTCACGCACAACCCGAAAACCCGGATGCCACTTTAGACCCTTGCGCTGAATCCGGCTGCTCGCCTCTCCCCGTGGCTACAAAGGTTCAAGGCGCTTCTTCAAAAGCACAGCAAAGCGAGATAGCAACAATGTCAATTGGTTCTAGAAGCGGAATGGGTGCTTGTGGTGCGGTCATGATCATCTTTGGACTTGTGTTTGTCATGCTGATGTGAACCATTACAACTCCATCCAAGCTAGTGTTTTGAGCTGATATTATGTATGATAGAGCAATATAACTAGAGTTTGAGTTGAAATGTGTACTTCTTTTTACCACTGTTCTTGAAGCTTGTATCTAAATTTCAGTATGCAGTAACTAAAAGCAGAGTATTTGACTGTTTATCGTCAGACCCGGTTTAGAGTAATAAGCAAGCAACCATGGCCACATGTGATTAAAATTTAGTAACTTTTTTAAAAGATTTTTGTTTTATACTCCGTTTCAAAAAGATTGGTGTGTTATTGTTACATTTTCCCGGGTGATCGACACGCTCCTCCTGTTGCGTTCCCTGGAAAATCAGACCATGCAGATGATACTAGGCTGCCTCAGACCAATTCTTCATGCTATCTAGACTCACATTTCGTGTGTTCTTGTAACAAGAATCTTGTTCTTGTGTAGTGCTAAAGATACTGCCATATTAAATACTGATCACCTGCCGATAGCTGATCAATACACAATATAACAAGAGAACGGGAACATGGGTTACATCATTTCAATCATCAAGCTCAACGGGTTATAAACCAATGTTTAACATTTTCAGTAAACACAACAATTCTCTTCTCAAGAAAGTAGGGATAGTGCTGTGATCAAGACAAAGCCCACCCAATGATTTCGTAGTATCTAAAAAAAAGGGGCAAGAATCGAAATGCTTCTCGTCTCGTTGAAAGTTTTTCACATTTGCCGCAAAAAAAGTAGTTGAATCAATCTTTCTCTACCATCTACGAGAGCTAAGATACTGAATGGCAGGTTCAAAGGTCTGGTCCACAGCTTTGTTCCACAGAGATGCAAATTCCATCTGATATTTCTTACCGAACATGCTATCTCTCACCTGAGAACAACGAAAGTTTTTAAGCTTATAATTGCAACAAAAGTGTCGAACATAGTCTGCAACTCTCTAAACCGTAACTAGAAGTTCAAATAAGAAACCCTACAAATCCAGCTAGACTCTATACGGAATTGGTTAAGCCTAAACCGGAACTTAGATTCTCAAAAAAACCAGAAATTGAACCGATATATACGGGGAAATAGATATCTGGAATTAGATAATATAACCTGAGATTGAGATTTAGGATCGGAGATGGATTGATTGATGAGTTTTCGCTGCTCAAGAACGATGAGTCCAGTCAAGGCGCTACCCAGCGTGGCGCCAAGAAGACGCTCCTGTATACGAACAGATTGCAATTGTCAATACAACAATACATCAGGTCAATTCTGAGATGAAAGAGGAGAACCTGAGCGAGAATGCTGATCATGCTGGAACTATGCTTTTCTCTCTGGCTTTAATTTTCTGGGGAAAAAGTATGCAAGACGACGAATCACGAGCGGCACCACGCGAAATTTAGAGTAGACCCAACTATGGGCCTTAGCCCATTATGTTCATGTTGTGTGCTTCTCTTGATTAGAACTAGATAGCATTAATCAACTTCTTAAGCTGAGTGCTTGTCTTGATCCATGAAACCACGTCGTTCATGTACACGGTAATAGAAACAAATCAGAGATAATATACAAAATTATAAATGTAAAACTGAACAAGCCGTTAAGTGAGCCAGATAACCCCATGTATATTCAAACTTTATGTTTTAATGTAATAACTGTGATTATATGACAACATAACACACCTCAGAGCATGATTATTGCAGGTCCCTTAAACTGGGTCCCTTAGCGTAAGTCCCTTAGCTTTTAACTGAAAACGCTAAGGGACGTCCCTTATATAAGGGATTTAAGGGACGTCCCTTAACGTTTTCAGTTAAAAGTTAAGGGACCGTACGATAAGGGACCCAATTTAAGGGACCTGCAATAAACATGGTCTCAGTAGTAGAATGTGACTCAGCATGTTATAAAATTTTTAAATGTGACCTATAGCGTAACTCTTCATTCTATCATAAAGTATAAATGTAAATAATTGTTTATAATAACATATTTACTTTGACATAAACTGGAATAGTAAATTAGATATTTCAGTAGTACTAATGTAATCTTTTTTATATTCATAGTTTTAACTACAGATCTGGAATTCGAAGTGTAGTTCTATACATGGCACATTGACATATTATAAAGTTGTATGTTCAACCTGGATGTATACTGACGAAATTAAAAAAAAAAACACTAGAGTTCATCGGCACAATCACGTAATTATTTTGATAAAATGTTATTATTAACTATTTGTCAACCCATTTCATATTAGTCAAAATTTATGTTTAATACTCTTTTGTAATCGAAATGAGATAAACCGTTTTAATTCATTTCGTATTGACAAAAATAACTTGTATGCTTTATAAAAATACTTGCAATCACAATGTAAAAAACTCTAAAATATTTAGTGTGTAAAATCATTTAAGAAAATTTATTATATATGTATAGCAGAAAGATTTTCTTTTTCCTTTTTGAAATTAAAATAATAACATATTAATGTATAATTATACTTAAACATTAGCTTCAAATTTAATTATTTATTTAAAAAATATATTAAGTATATTTTGATAATCCTCTAGACATTATTTGAGAACTAATTTATCATATGTCATCACTACAACCACTTTCACTAAAAAAAATGACATGACATAATAGAAAAAATGACATGATTTAAGGTAAAATATGATAGGGAAAATTACATTTAATGTTAATTTCTATTTTTAGTAATTTCAAAAAATATATGGTAATAACACATACATCATTAAAATTAAATAATATAATAATCTAAATAGAAAATCTTTTACAAATTTTAAAAGATTAATTTAGTCTATTTAAATAATCGTACAATTTTTACTACTAAACAAAATTTTCAAAGTTTCAAAAATTTATACAAGGTTTTTAAAAAATTATAAATTTTTAATGAATAACATTTTTTCCTTTTTATATTTACAAATTCGTTTTATTTTTATTTTTGATAATTATATAATTTTATATCATTTTCTAATTTTATACAAGTTAATTTTATATATCTTATTCTAAATAAATAAATGAAAAATATATCTAGAATATAATTTTAAATATATACATTTCGATCTTAAATATAATTTAAAATAAATGAAATTTTTTATATATCTTAATTTTATGTTTAACTAAATCAAAATTTATATTAAAATATTAATATAAAAATAACAAAAATCTAAAATATTAACATAATTTTATTTAGAATATAATCTTAAAGTAGAAATTTTATTCTTGCACAAGATGCAGGAAAATACATAATATCTTGTTATATTACAGTTTGATTCGGATGGGAATCAAGTTTTTTGGTTCAAACAGTGACGGTCCATGCTTTTTTTTTTTATAACACTGATACGTAAAAATATTCGAGACAATACAAAATGATAGAGAATCATAAAAGAAAAAGAAGATGTCAGTAGACATCAAAATAAAAAGGAGAAAGAACGTCACCCAACCGTTAAATGCTGAGCTTCCAGAGCGAGCAGATGGTGTAGCCATACAGGAGCATTGCTGGCGATGTAAGACTGATGGCGGTGATCGCGAGTGACACTTATAGCAATAGCGTCAGCAGCTTCATTTCGTTCTTGGAGTGCGTGATCTAGACTCCAGAGAGCAATGACGGTCCATGCTTAATAAAGGCTTTCACTCAAATGTAGTTTAAACTAAATAATTTAAAAGATATTATTATTTTTAGGTTAATAATTGATAAATTATTTTGGACCTTCTTAAACCACTGTTTATTCTGTTTATGTTATGAACCGGATCTAGATCTCGTTCAGATCTCGGATTTCCGATTTTTTCCCAGACATACACAACACCTTCCTTCCTTAGTCTGACACGCCACTAGTTCAAGACTTTCAAATTCGGGTTACAATATTTTAAGAAGCTACATATCACGACTCTTTCATTTAATCAACGAACAAAACAATATATTAAAAAAACAAATGAGAGTATTACCCAAGTTGCACATATACATGCACCAATGTTGTTGTTTTTAATTAAGAAAAGACATGCAGCCAAGTTTGAATAATGATGCAGAGGCTTAACGCGTTCGACATGGGTAGCAGCAACATCATTAAACAAAATAAATGATATAATCAATTAAAAATACAACTAGTTTGGAGTATTTGTCAACTGTTTTAATTTAACAAGAAACATGCAATGATCCATCTTCTTCCACATTCATTCTCTCCTTCTCCTCCTTCTTCCTAGCTTTCTCAAAGAACCAAGAAGGCAAGAAAACAGTTTCCGCATCCTGCATTGACATATAGAAGCTTATAATCTCATGGCGAAAAGGCTCTGTTTCATTGTCATTCTATCATTGTGTCTTCTAACTTTCAATCTCACGCACGCTGAGGAGGAGGAGGAGTCTCTCTCACCGGCTATCCCACCAGAATCAGATTCATCTCCATCACCACCAGAAGCGGATACCCTTCCACCACCACCGTCATCACCAAAACCTGAACCCTTAGCAGATTCTCCTCCACCACCTCCTCCTTCACAATCTCCATCATCTTCATTACCAAAACCTGAACAATCGCCAGTTCCTACACCGTCAGAGGAAGAATCCAATGAGGACTCAGAGCCGGAGACAGAGTATTTCCCTTCTCCAAGACCGTCTCCTGCGCCGGAAGAGCGGAAACCAGACGATATCAAAGCAAGCGAGGATGGTGATGAGGTCGAGAAAGAAGAAGATAGCGGTGGGATGAGTGGAGTGAAGAAAGCTGGGATCGCCATTGGAGTTATATTTGGAGTCGGAGCGATTGTAGTGGGAGCTATTGTTTACAAGAAACGTAGAGATAACTTGACCAGGGCTCGTTACACTTACTTCCAAGGAGAGTTTCTTTAAACTGCTTTCTTGTTTTTTTTTTTTGGGATTAAGAAACATATATAATCTTTCTTTACATTGTTGTTTTTGGTGGTGCTACATGATGTATCTTTCATCTCTTAGTAGAGTTTATATTATTATATGTTACCTCTTAAGGAGCATTACCATGTTCTAGTGGTCAGGAATGTGAGAGTTATAAACATTTTTCAAGAACTTTCATAATTTTTTTTTTGGTGCATAATTTAGGGGTCTCTATACCTATGTTTATAACCTCTAAAAGTGCTAAAAGGCCAAGACTAATGTTTCGCTAAATTATGCTCAGATCCTTGTTTGAGCCTAAGGGGAGATGTTTTTTTGAGTTATGTTTGAGTTTGTACTTCCTGTCTTTTTAAGTATAATTGTGATTACGTCCGGTTTAAAAATTGATCTCCTCTGGTGGAGCAAGATGGGGAAATTTATACAAAAAGTAATTAAAAACGTGACTATTTCATGACATGTTTTATGTGCTTCATTTGTTTAACCATATCGACAAAAGTAATATGTCGGTATTCATCACAATAGTAGATGCATATAGATATTATTCTTTGAGAATGATAATTCTAAGTTTGAATACAATTGGGTCGAAGGTTGTTCTTGGAGAATAATCCGCAGTGTAACGAAGAAGATGAGACACGAAAGAATAATGCAAAACCAATATTACACTGCTGAATATGTTCAGTTCATACATCATCAATGTTAAAAGGCGAGAAATGTGATGGAGGAGTTCTTGGAGATATATCATGATGAAGCTACGTCTAAAAGGTCATATGTTATTCGTTTATTAGTACGACTCAACTACTCATTCGCATACTGATGCTTAAAACAAATCCATTCTCTATCGTCTTATTTTTATCAAACATGCATTTTCTAGATTTATAAGAAATTCAAGAGATACAAATCAAAACGAGACCTTAATAAATCCAAGAAGCGTGACAAACATGAATGTCTTTTTTAACGGACTGATAAATAAAACAGAAAACAATCCACAGATCTATTATTTTTAACAACCAGAAACTAATTTCTTCGCTTGAGGTTCTCGAGCAACTCGGCTCCCTCCTTCAGAGCCTTATCCAACTCCCCACCGACTGACTCTAACCTATACATTGCAACAATGTTGTATGATAAATATCCACAAGAAATTCAATTTAGAGAAAATGACTAAAATAGTAATATTTTATTTTTGCCACAAATATAGCATTTAAAAATAAAAATAACCAAAATAATATTTAATCTTTTATTAAAAGAGATAAATATACATTTATATCCCAGTGATAAATTAATTTAGGCATTAATTATGATTTAGAGTTAAGGGGTGGATTTAGGGTTTAGGGTTTAGATTGAGGATTGGGATTTTGAGATAAGATTTCAATTTTTGAAAAAATAAAATACTATTTTGGTCATTTAAGTTTTTAAACGCTATTTTGTGAAATAAACTTAAAAATGTAATATTTTGGAGATTTGACCTTCAATTTATTCCAAAGGTATATTTCTCCACCTGCGCAATCACCGATATTTCGCCGTCATGATTTGCGTCGGGTCTATTAGGGTTAATGAAATAACATAAATAAATAAAACAAATCCATTCTCTGTATAGTCTTATATTAATGAAAAGACAAATTAAATAAAACAAATCCATTCTCTATGGTATTATTAATTAATGAAAATAAATAAATAAAACAAAAATCCATTCCCTATAGTCTAATTAGTGGAAGGACAAACATAAATAAAACAAACTTAATGTTAAACGGTAGAAACGATGCTGCAGAAGTTGAGTCTTTTGGTTTGTCTCTTGTAACTCCGCAATCGGTGGGTTTAAACGAAATCCGTAGAGAAGAATGATCATAACCAACCAAAAAGTTGTTCTGTGCTCTGTTACCAAAAACAGCCGGTTCAGCAACTGGTGTCATCGGAGCACACATAATCGCCAAACAAATGGCGTGATCTCCATTAACATAATACGTATTGTTTTTATCCAAAACAAGATCCGCACCTCCAGAGAAATGCATTTTGATCGCTGGAAAGATATCCATCGTGTTCGCTCTGTAGCAAAGCGTGTCGTCGTTGTCGTAAGTTACTTTTTCCGCAGTCACAACCTTCTCCACTGACTCCCTCACTAGGCTGCAGTAGCTAGCGGGCAAGAAGGTTAAAGTGGTTCCAGAGTCTATGAGCATGTTCCCGTCTGCGGCGTGAAACGGTGTCCCCAACGTTGCAACGCGAGCCTCCCCAACGCTGACCGCGTCTAGGTTTAGGTAATAGAAACCGGGTTTCTCCTTTTTAAAAAACATAGGGGTTGAGACAGTCCCTTGTCCGGACACAATAGCATCACTTCCAAAGCTGATCTTACTAGTTGCCTTTGGTGAAAAGCAGTAAGAAAAGGCACCGAGCATGTCTTTGCCCATCTGAGAGATGAGAGATGAAGACGCCCAACTTAGACCAACAATGCCCGAAGCGGTTGTTATAAACCCTGAGCTGTTGTGAGAACATCCAATAAGGGTGTTGGGCATTACAAAGGAGTGGCCTGATGTGGACTGGAGGGTGATAGTCTCGGTTGCCAAGACTCCATTGGAGTAACTTTGGTCTCCGTATACCAACGCATAAGGACAAGAATGGTCAGGGGTATTATTGCAACTTCTCGCTTTGTAGGTCGAGGACTTGGAAGGGTCGAACATGATATTGCGTTGGTAGTAGCAGTTAACACAAGGCATGCATTGTGTCCATATGGCTTCGCTTCCTGTGTCTAAAACTGCTTCGATCACGACAGGGGGAGTACCGATTTGGAGTTTCATAAGATACTCGGAGGTTTGAAAGAAGGTGTCGGCGTAAGGAGATGATCGGAGTTGATCATTAGTATTAGAGCCTCGAGAAGAAGATGAATTGGCGAGACGGTGGATAAGGTCCATGGTGAAGCCGCTTGGGGGTGATGAGGCTGTGGCGGTTATAAAGAGAAAAGCTGCAATGATTTGAAGATAGAGTATCATGCTGGTTGCAAAAGACATGGTGATCGAATAATATCTTTTAGGTTTGGAGACACAATGCAACTTCTTGATCATCCCATGCACATATTTATACAGTATGGACTTTAGTCGTAATTGTTAGTTTTTGTCATTTTCCCAATTTTGCTATTTCTATTTTTGAATATTTAACAATTTGTTTCCAAGAGTTTACTTTCTTTTTTCTTCTTTTATGGTCAATTTCTAAGAGTTTACTATGGTTTTCCACGTTTCATTATTGGAAATTATATTACTTCATAATACACAGCGAAATGAATCTTTTACGTAATTGTTCATGAGCCCTAACTGAAAAATATAAGATGATTAACATAACGATGCGTTTTGTACACGCCCCAACAAATATGCGACTAGAGAGTTGGCAAATTTGAGAAATTTTTTTTTTAAAGAATAAAGGAGTTAACTATAAATAAATTCCTTTTCAAAATAAAAAAGTTAACGAATATAATGGAAATAGTAATTTTTTGGTTCACCTCCTAAGTGAATTTCTAGGTTTAACAACCAATGGAATTACGTTATTTTATATTCAATATTTTTAAAAAAGAAAACAAAATATTATCGAGTTATATTATGTTTTTAAAATTTAAAGATAAAAATAAATAAAAAATAATATTAGTTGCAAAAAAATAAAAAATTTAATACTATTATCAAAATACTAAACCCTAAACACTTAGATAAATCTTTAATTTTTTAAAAAATATTTTTTAATACCGTCAGCAAAACACTAAACCCTAAATCCTAAATCGTAAACCCTTGGATTAATCATAAATCCTCGGGTTTAAGATTAATCCAAGAGTTGAGGATTTACCAAGAGTTTAGAGTTTAAGATTTAAGGTTTAGTGTTTTGCTGACGATATTAAAAATGTGTTTTAAAAAAAAGTTTTTTGTTTACAACTACTATTATTTTTATTTTTTAATTTTAAAAACATAATATAACTTAAGAATTCTTGTTTATTTTCTTAAAAGATATTAAATGTGAAATAATAAAATTTTGTTGGTTGGTAAATTTATTATAGGGGTGAACCCAAAAATTTCTCTAATGGAAATGGAACTAACGTCTCCTAAATAGAAAATATAAAATTTTCTATTATAATTTTATATATGAATCATAAAATTATATCATATATTGATTTTTATGATAATTTATATCATATATTAATTTTTATGATAAATAACGTATATGATAAATTCTATCATATATTAATTTTTATGATAATTTTATATATAAATCATTTAATGATCTACCAATAATTAAATAATAATAATATATAAAAAATAATATATAATTAATTTATTTGATTTAATAATATTACAATTATTTTTATATCCAAAATAAATTTTATGTTTTAAAAATAAGTTTTTAAAATTTTAAAATATTAATGTTTCACATTTAAAATATAAAATAATTTATATAATTGAATAATATTCACTATTTTTATTAACAAATATAATATTAATATATATTATAAATATACAAATATAAATATTAATATATATTATAAATATACAAATATAAATATATATATATATTCTTTTAAAATAATTATCTTATAAACTAATTTTTATGATAATTATAAAATTGTATACTGCTAATGCTCTACCAATCAATTTATTAAATTTTTTTTGTGAAAACATACAACTTCTGTAGCATATTGTTTCTATAGTATACTGCTACTGCTTTATCATCTGATGTACAATCGAGGTCTAAATCTAAAATATCACTCTGTCGCATAATTTAGACGACTGTTTTTGTAAGAATGCCACATAAACAATAAGAAAAAAATTTGAAAATGACACATAAACAAATTCATTTTGAAATTAATATAAAATTAAGGTTATAATTTTTTAAAAGATCTTCAAATATTATACAGTGACGTAATTTCGATTTCTAATAGAGTAGATGGTCATTTAGATTATATTAGTTTGTTATCTTAATTAGTTAGATAAGAATGGAATATTTAATATACTTTGTATGTTAATGTGTTCAGTTAGATATAGCTTTGGCTTAGTAAGGGGTTTCATACATGATTATATTATAGGAGTTTAGATCGTTGTCTAAAATGTGTTGTTATGATTCAGTATTCAAACAATTAACATTTTTTTATTAATAGATAGCATAATCGATTTTAAAAATCATAAAAGTGAAACAAATTAAAAAAACTATATTTTTTGAAAAGACATTAATAAAGATAGTGACGCTAAAATTTTAAAAGGTAAATTTAAACGCCAACATATGAACCCTAAAAAATGTAGAATCAAAATCTTAGGTTTTTTTAGCTCATTGTGGAGAGAAAGTGAGAGATATGTATTGTAATATGTTGTTTAGTTCATGAGAATAGAGAAAGAAGAAGAGTAAATGGAATTTGGAGGCATTAAGAGCTTTAAAATTGGTTGTTCATGGTTGTTGGAGTATTGATGACAATGGCAATCTTGTAATTACTTGAAGATGATGATGGTGAGAGAGGAAATATGTCATTTTCGAAAAAAACAAAACAAATTGATGGCATTTTCGTGAATTATATGAACTTGTGGGGTGAATTGGACAAAATAAAGTTCCAAAAAAAATGAGGTTAGTTTTGTGGTTGACTTCAAGTTTCAGGTCAATTCTGCAAAAAGCCCAATAATTTTTTTGGGTAAAATAGTGAGAAATTAATATTTGAATTGGTGTAAACTCTTACTCACTCTGTTTCAAAATAATACATATTTTAGTTTTTTTTACACAAATTAATAAAATGAATTAAATTTCAGTATTAAATACCTATTTTTGGAATTATCTAATTCCCATAATTTAAACCAGTAACAATTCAGTAAATGCAATTTCTTTTCTTGAAATTTACAATTAGTCATTATTAGTTGACAAAATTTTTATTAAAAATACAAAAATTATATTTTTTTGAAACAAATTATTTTTCTAAACATGTATTTTAATGAAACAGAGAGAGTACTCCATATAAACAGGTAGAAAAAAATACTCTATAAATTCACAAAAAGACAAAAACAATTACTCTGCTTCAATATTTTTATCCTGATGGAATATACTCCAGTGCAGTTTACTTAAATAATTTTGTTTCCTCCAATATTTTACTCTAAAACTGCTTTACAAGCACATCCATAGAATATTAAAACATCAGTAATGATAAACACATCTAAAATTTTACCATTAAAATAATAATATTTTAATTATACAATTAAAATTTAAAAGTATTAAAATGTTTAAAGTTTGTAATAAAAAGTGTCCAAAAAAGTTTCAGACATTTAAAAAAATATTTTGTTTGAGATACAATCTTCTCTTTCGAGCATTCTTATTATATTCACTTTTATTGTTGAGAAATTTATTAGCATCCATCACAATTTCTTAATTTCAAAACTTCTTGACTAATCACGAATTATGACTGATTGTTTTTAGCGAAAACACCATATTGTATTTATTCAATATGAAAAGGTTAGTTTATGGGGTAATCAGTGTCGGAATCAAATAATTTAAATAGGAAAAATCATGCAAACTAAACTATTGTATACCTAATTACACAAAGTGTAAATTATGCATGGCAATATTTCTCAACTTAATGATGTTATGTATTTAACATCACAAATTTAATTTCTTTCGTCTAAAAGTGATGTGGATGTCAGAGACTGTTTAAATTTCCCGTTCTTTCAATAAAAAATTGACGTACCTGACGGTAATTTAACTAAATTTAGGTTTTGATCCGTATTTGAAAAGTGTACGAATATTTTAAACAAAATATAATTTAAAAAAAATCAATTTGTTTTATAAAATTTTGATGAGTAGTGTTTAAACATTTTATTAGTGTATTTGAAAACTATATAAGTATATTATTTATTTATATAACTATGAAAGTTATATGGGATATTATTTAATTTTCGTTTTTTTATTAATCTATTTTGTTATTAACCTTTAATAAATTTCTGTAGTATTGTTTGATTCATTGTGTGATATGTACTTATTTGATCGATTTTGTATTATAAAAATTGTTTGATTTCAATTTACTAACTCTAAGAATTTATTTTTAATATTAAATTAATGAAATTAGTGTACTTATATTTTCATAAAAAAATGCATTTATTTAAACTTAATTAAACTTTCATATTGGATTCTTATTCTTAGATTATTTTATTCTTAAGAGTATATAATTAATAACTATATATGCAAGATTATGCTTGGTTTAAGTCAACATCAAATAAGTTTTAAACAAATAAAAGTTAACGTCAAATATGTTTATAATTAAAAATTTATCAATAAGTGTATCACAGAATTAATCAAACGAATTACGGAAATTTTATTAAAATTTCATAAGAAATTATTAAAATAATTAAAAACAGATTTATATTGTATAACTTTATATCTAATATAAATTAAAATAATTTAAATATTTAGTTTTGAAATACACTAAAATAAAAATGTTAAAAACTACTTATCAAAAAATATTAAAAAATATTGATTTTATAAATTAGATTTTGTTAAAAATATTCTTAATCTTTTAAAACGTGGGTAGAATCTTATTTTAGTTCAACTACGGTCATATTGGTCATATTTTAATTGATGAAACGAGATTATTTAATTGGTCTATGACATCTACATTAGTTTTTGGATGAATGAAATTGAACTTGTGATATAATTACATAACATCATTAAGTTGAGATATGTTGTTAATCATAACATATAATTTGTGTAGCTAAGTATACATTAGTTTAGTTTGGATGGTTAGCCATATGATGGTCAACACTTTGTGCAATTAGCAATCGTTTTTCCTATGAATAATCTATAACACCGGGTGAAGAGATTATCTAACGGTTGCCATTATGAAACTGGAAGGACTGAAGGTAGGTACTTTGTTTCTTTCCTTTCGGCTGCTTATAATAACAAAGGGACTAGAAAAGGTAAAGCCAAATTGTATAATCATTACAATTATATACCCTAATTTCGTTAAAACTTAATTTCAATAGCATATAATAGTGTTAACTTTGAATTATCGATATCAGCCCGTTTAGATGAACGTTTTTGAAAGTTTTGGGAGTTTTGGTGTATGGATTTTAGAATTCTTTTTTTTTCATGAATCTAAAATGCAGAACCAATGTTTGATGACATTTCTGGCACGAATACATACGCTAATAGTTTTTTTTGTTTCTTCTCAAACCTTGTAAGCCTTTAATTTGAGATGAATATTTTGTTTTTTGTTTAGCTTTGGCCACAAATTTGAGGTATGAATCCATTCACTTACGTGGTCAAAGTTGCTGTATCCAAACTTATTTCATTTTTTGATGCCACTATGTTCATACTATGATAAAAAAATAATTAAAATTAATATCTCCATATATATATATAGTTTTGACCAAAATAGTAATATATAGCTAAATCCAAAGCGAAAAAACTTATTTCAAACTTTTTGTCGGAAAATATATAATTGATTAATTATTATGAAATTCTGTTATATTATATTGTTTGTCAACTTTAACAGATCGTGTTAAGTTTCGTCTATTCTATTTGTTCTACGTGTTTAACCGTGGACACTTCAGTTTTTTATTTGCTTCAGTTCAATTTTAATTTTCAAAAGTTTTGGTTTTTGAAATATAGAATTCGTTATTTATAATATCGTATTTGGTTTTATTCGTTGTTAACGTTTCCAGTTCACATATAAAATCAGAAATTCGGCTAATATCCAAAAACTTCCAAATCTTAATCTAGTTTATTTTCATTTTTTAATTTTGGTTAATTTAGATAAATTTTATAATATAGGATAATTCATATTTCCGAATGAAATATTGATTACTTCAGATAATTTGAAATATTATGGATAAAATCATATTTAGATAATTTATTTTTCAGATAATTCAGTATATATATAGTATTATTAAGATATTTGGTTATTGTAACCGAATAGAAATTAATATTTTTAGGTATGTAAATTTTATTTTAAAATAAGATACATGTTATGTTTTGTATTTGGTTTCCGGTCAAAACAGATCTTTCAGTTATTATGGATTTTTCACGTGGTTCGATGAAGCTGGTTGATTACGTTTCCAGTTTCAGTTTCAGTTCGACTTTTTTATTTCAGAAATATAGAATCTGTATGGATATTTATGAAATTTGATCTGTTTCTGTTTTAGTTTTGTATGTTTGAATACCCTATATGTTTGGGCTTGTTTGTATCACAAACTTTTTTCAATAAAATTTTAGATGGCAAAAAAAAAAAACAATTTGATTTGATTTTAATCTTTTTGTATGTTCAATTCTTATATTCTGGGTAAATGTGAACAGCCTATCCGTGCCATACAAATGACTAATTAACGATGCACATAATATTATTTAGCTTGTCACGTGGGATGCACATGATGTCGGTAAAATGTATACACTGGTTTTGGACCACTGTTTATTTTGTTCTTTATGATTGATAATTAAACCGTTCATATACAGTGTTTGGAGTCAACGTGAACATTTTGTGATACAATGTCGGTAATTGCCATAAATAACCTTATTGCAGTTTATTTGTCCACAAATACATGGTGAGTGCGTATAAATAGATCGTAGACATATGTATACATGCTGCCACATGGAGCGAACGCGTAATGTCTTGTACTCGATGCTAGTCTACAGAGACCTGTCATGCGTTCGTCGGTTTCTTGGCTAATGGAGTTAATTCGTCTTTCAGTTGAATAATGCTTTCAAGAATTTGAAAACGTTCGTATTTATATTATTCATAAAATGCACAACAAACAAAAAACACGTCAGAAGAAAACGATACTGCACGTTAGTCGCTTCCCAGTGAGCGTAAGAAAGATTAACAATGACATTTTTCTCATTCTTAAGCAACACAATAATGATTATTAATCGAAGCATCCGTAAAATGTCACATTCACCGAAACTTTAATTTGTTTGGGGTTGTTCTACTTGGTAGTTCGAAGTCATTACGACACATATTATCTTTTCAAATGGAATAAATAAATTATAACAAAAATTTATTAAGCAAATAGTATAGCCATAAAATTTAAATGCATCTCAATTAACTCCTTCATTAGCGTTAGGAGAAGATTTTTAGAATCTTAATACAACCTCAACCTTTTTATATCCCTACATAATACTAACACGTAACATGTTCGATAAATTTTAAGCAGTTTTGTTACGTGCTTATATTATGATTGGTTGACTTAGCAAAAAATATATAAAAATAAAGTCCCATATATCATATCCTAGGTCTTTAATATGCATATGGAAGTAACCACTAAAGCGCTTTAAAGTGAATTAATAATACCATAAGTTATGATCATGTCCAAAGAGGATCCCACCACGACATTGATGAATTATTGTTGTTGTTGTCCTCAAGGAATCCCAAATCATTGGTCACTTCGTCGGAGCTACTAATGAACTCGTCACCACTTTCAAATGAACTCTCAAAGGACATATTTTGTTGTCCTTGCTCTTGTGCTGCTAACTTTGTTTGTTCCATTTTATATAACAATTCCAGTAGATCTGACCTTTGGAGTTGCATGCTCACTAGCTCTACTTGAGTTTTCGCAAGTTGTGCTTGAAGTTCACTCACTTGTCTCTGCAAATGGTATATCGCACCCGCACAACCGTAAACCGGATCTCTCATCCTAGCTCCTGCTTCATAAACCATGCTATTAACCGCATCTGTTCTTTGAGATTCCGGAAGTTCCTGATACCGAAATAAACATGTAAATATTGAACAACCATCTTTCACTAAAACATGCTGTTCTGGAAGAGGATATAAAATATTGGACATTCTGTGGATTGTGGCATATTCTTTAATGTTTAAAATGATTTGAATTTTTGCATTTAACATTGATTGTGAATTTTTGTTTTGATGTTTGACCTTAAAGAAATCTTACATGAATTTTTCAAAGGTTAATGAAAAGGAATGTTTGAAATAGACATAATACAGTAGACTTTTTTCTAAAGGGGTGGATATGTTTGTTAATAACTTAATAGTGAGAGGCTTCGTGTAGCTTTGAGGAAAGTTTGTTATTGACCTTTCATTGCAATTGTAGGGCCTAGTTCCGGTCACATGACTTATGAACCCATTATTGTTCAACAACTAGACTTTTAACCACTTTAACTTCCTTTCACATTTTTGAAATCAGTTTTTATTTTATTAAGAAATTAAATTGATATTACTTTATATACAAAGAAATAAATAAAATTGGTGTTAAGTATCAACTACTAAAAATAAAACACCAATTGGTGCTTAGTATCAACGACTAAAAAAGCTCTGTATTTTATTGATAACCAGTATAGATTGTTTGTATTAATTTTCATGTAAAAATTAAAAAGCAAATGTGAAATTTCTGGTTATGTACACACGTGAATAGAAAATACACTGTACACACGTGTAACAACACTAACAAGTACTATAAACAAGAAAATAAAAGTACCTGCAAGAACTTAATAATGTTGCTAGCTCCGAAGACACGGTGGGCTATAGTGAACTTCGCCGGATCTGTCGGAGGAAAATACGGCGCCAAAACACATTTCTCAGCGCACCTCCGCCGCAAAATCTTGCAAGCCGCACAAGGGCTTAGCACCACCGGCGACTGTGGCGGCTGCTGCGGCGAAAGGGGCGGCCGAGGAGGTGAAGAAGTGGGAGAAGGGGAGTTGGCGGGAGTGGTGGTTTCTTTCACGGCTGCGATAGCCACGGGGGTGGCTGTAGGTGTAGCAGCCGAAGTGCCACCACTAATCTCCATCTTTAGCATGATTCTTGATTTCTTGGGGACTAAACTGATAATTTTATTTTCTTTTGGGTCAATTAGTTGTGAGCAAAAGTGTTGTGTGTAGAGTGCAGTGATATATGGTAAGGAAGGTTGTGAGAGTAATGAGTATATATATAGGGAGGGAGACAGAGAAGAATGATAATGTGATGTCATATATCCGAGTTATGACGTTATACGTTAGTTTGGACTTATAATTAGTTTTATACCCTTTACGGTGGCTCGGAAAATTCTTCTTCCGCTTTTCCGTTTCAACGGCTGATTAACTTAGACAACTCAATTAAATTATTTCCACATTCGCACTTAAAGACAGAACTTGTTGTATTTATATTCCCGTTTTCACATTCCCGTATATATTCATATATTAATTTTCTCCAAAATCGGTGTGAAGAAGTACAACTTTATTCCTTATTATCTTTGATAATAACGACATGATATTAAAAATTGTTTAGCACCCAAATATGGATTAAGCACACTGTTGAGTATCTTGAATTTCTAACTATTAATGTGAAAATATTGCACAAAGGCACTAACGAGTTTAATTGATTTTCAATGTGAAAACCAAGTTAATTTCAACAGGGAATCTCTACAACAATTCACTATCAGATGACCTGTGAGAGAATACAAACAAAAAAAGTATGTCGAGAATTACGAGAAGGAAATATACTGCATCTATGTTATCATGTCTTCTTGCTAATTTATCATAGACTGAGACAAGATTCGTCGATGCTTCTAGAAATGTTGTGATAAATGGCTGGTGATGAGGTGTTTCATAAGCAATGAAGATATGATATCATCAAAGATAATATTCGATTTTTTTCTGTTGTTACTACATGTATCTTGTATATATCTCCATGACTATCATTGTAACTCTCATACAATTGTATCATCTTTTACCATTTTCTTCATAGAATCAAAGCTTCTTCCTATGGATTAATTAATGACTTAGTGTGACCAAACTATCATCATAAGTAAACTAACTTGCAACATTCAGATAAAATATAATTCAGCAAGTTCATCGATAAATCAAGCCCCTCTCTGCCTTTGGAACGCACAACTGACAATAAGGAAGTTTCCAATCCAGTTTATGTTTCTTGGACATATCAAGATTCACGTACATCGCAATCACTATTGGCTATATTGAAACAATGGAATATATTGAAACAATGGAATATATTGAAACATGTACATTTGAATGCCAGCGCCATGTCCTCCTTTGAAGCATGGAACACACTTGCCTCAAATTTTACAATAAGCTAATTCGAGATCACACCACGTAACTCTACCATCAGTTGAAATATTGGGTATGCGAGCGCCATCTCCTTCTTTTAATATGCAGTTTGTTAAATCATTTTTGATTCGTAAATGGATAAAAAATCATACAAAGAAAATTATATATGACAGATTGACGGTAGTCAGTAATATGGTTTTAGGAAATAATACGACAAGCAGAATTTTTATTTAACATTTGATTAATTGCGAATTAGAAATGTCTCCTTATATTATTAATTTTTACTTATACTTTTGAGTTTGTATAATTTGTACAACTCTTCCCGTTTGAAATAAGGATTTCTATGGAAGTGCTAAGAAATATCCAAACCAATAAAGTCTCTACAAACCCTTTTTCTTCTTTATATATATATTTTAAGACTGATTTTTTAAAAATTGGAAGAACTTGACGAAGAAAAAGAAAGAAAAGAGTTTCGGCATAATTATAAGTCTATCTGTCTTTATTATGAGAATTATAAATTTATCCCACTTCTTTAACCGTTTTATTTGAGATAGAACATATTTAAATGATATATTTAGGAAAAACTACGGCTTAGTCTTAGGCTCTTAATTTCAGAAGATTTATATAAGTGACTATGAAACGTGGCTACATCCTCTTTGTAACAACTTGCTAGTTGGCATTTAGATTCAAAAAACACTTGTTCATATAAATGTTTTGTGCATGATCAAATGAATGGACGGCATACCTTGATATTTATAAAACGTGGCTATCATGTGTTCTTTGTAACAAATTGGTCATTAATGTACCAGCTTGGTCATTAATGTTTTGGTGATAAAACGAGTATGGAATAGTTTATTTATGATGTATGCAGTGTTTTTATGCCCGATCCGGATCTACGGAAAATCCGATAAAATCCGTTAAAAACTTTTAAATCCGGTGATCCGGTTATCGATTAAAACCATTGGTTGAACTAATGAGTTATTTTTATTTAAATTTTATTAAGTTATAACTATTATATTAAAAAAAAATTGTGTGTCCAAAATAATTTAGATTATTACTTTTAGTTTTCTCATAATATTATTGTTTTTCATGCTATTATATATACTCTATATCTTCTTCAATTTTCTTTTAATTCTTTTGTTGATTTAGTATGTGGTAAATAAAATTTAATTTTAATTTCTAGGTACTAATTTTTATCATATAAACTTCATTTTTATTCTAATCATATGCTTTTATTTTATTTTCTCAATTTTACATGTTTATTAATAAAAAGTATTTTTGTTAATCAAAATTTATTGATTTTATTTAATTTTGAAAAATCATATATAATATGGACTATAAAATTTATTGACTTTCATGATTATTGCATTATGACTCTTAAAGAAAAAAAATATTAAATAATGATAGATAGCTAAAACTTATGAGATTTAAGTATTGTTATGATTTGCTATATGTCTCAACTTTTAGTTTCTTATAAAAATTGTGAAACAATCTAATCTAATTTTAAATATTTTATATGTGAAATATAACAGAATAAATAAAGAGAATAAATTTAAATATTTTCTATGTGTTTAAGAAATTTGAAATATTTTCTATATTTTTAATAGTTAATATATAATTATTTATTAAAATTAATTAACATATTGATCTGTGGTTGTGGTTGATCTAATAACTCATGGTTGATCTAATAATCAGTGATCTGACAAGGTATCTGGTTATGTATCCGGATTGGGTTTAAAAATATTGGATGTATGCATGGATGACTGCCACCGGTGCATTGACATCTATAGTCATAAAATGAGTAAAATTTAGGTTTAATTATCTTTAGACTCTACCTTCTATGAATGCGGGATTCATATCCTTTTTTCGCAATATACGTTAGGTTCCACGTATAGGCTGCGACTTCCCAGCGGTCCGAACAAATACAATATTATCGTATGGACTGACATTAATATAGAAGAAAAGATAATTTGATAAAAGTAACACGTCCACTACGTACGCAAAAATCACGAGTTTGCACGCTACAACTACCGGGCGTCCGAGAAGCTTAGGAACGACACGTAGTAGTGATAGAGCAGGCCAGTTCTTAAGGATTTAATGGGTGTGCTATTATTTGATAATATTTTGATGCCACAATCAAGACAACGCTATCTTTCTACATTTCTCAACCATATCAACTTATTCACCTTTTTGTAAAGATATTCGTTATTTGATTTAGCTCATATTTGAAGTTAATATATTACTTAATTGGGGGGACATATTAGGGATAAGTTTGGTGGAAATTGGTCAGCTCATTGGACATATTAAGCAAGGAAAAAAGGACTTCTTTGATTTTTGAGGTACTAGCGAAAGCTCTCTTCTTTTATTTTATTTATACCTTTTTGTAACGAAATGTCTTTTGGTTTGCCTTTATCCATTCAAAAATGAACTATATTACTCTCTCTGTTTCAATATAAGTGTCACTCTACAGCTATGCACACGGATTAAGGAAACAATTAATTTTACATATTTCCTATATAAAAACATAATTACCCATACACCTAACCATATTTTAACCAATAGAAAAACAAATTACATAATAAAATTAATAAATTTTACATTGAAAACCGAAAACGACACTTATTTTGTAACACAAAAAATTCTCTACAACGACACTTAATATAAAACGGAGGGAGTATAAATAATTATGGAGCCATATTCCACGCGGCCGTATTCTTATAATTATGCATCTTTCTACACTGCTTTATACGTTTTATGATATCTACAAACACATCCATATATAAGTGATGTAGCCTGTAGGTATCTCTTTATTGTTTGTATAATTATAATTTTATAAAGGCTATAAGTAAGAATAATGCTTTTAAGTATTAAGATTAACATTGACAAAAAAGTATTAAGATTAACAATAAGCATAGTGCAATGCATCATTTTTTTTTTTTGAGTCAAAAGTGCAATGCATCATTTCTATACGTATCAATTACTACTGATAAATAAGACTCAACGTAGACGGGAGTAGATATTGTAAAACTACTAACTTTTAACCTTAAAAGACATAAAACTGAAACATTATCCAATTAATGCTTTTGTTAGAACACTTATCCAACTATTTAGACTATTCCAATCCAGAAACTCCCAAATTTCTAACTTGTAGAAACTGGAGATTCCTCCGCATAATATGTCACATGTCTCTTATTTATATAAGATACAAAAATAAAATTGGAGAAAATAGAAGAAACAAAAGAGCTTTAAACTTGATGTTTTCGTAGATTAGGTATAGTTGATAAATTGACTGTATCGGAACAGATCATCCCAATGTTGTTTGCGACGCGAATTCAAAAGCTAGTAAGATCAAAATACACATTTTCAAACTAAGGGCCGTCAACTCAACTGATTTAACACATTTAAAAACGATACTATATTTAGGATTAGGAATGATAAGTTATGCGTTGTTGATCTAATTATTCAGTACTGATTTCTAAATGTAAGAAACATTCTCATATAATAAATAACATGTAATTGATAAACTCGACAGTCACAAAGTTTATTCATTGCGGAATGCAAAACCAAAGTCGGGGTGACTGATTGTATCCAACTTGATAGTGAATTGGTGTCAAATTAGTTTCTAGGCATCTTTCAAAGGTGAACGTTGAAATATTTATTTCTCCATCCTAGTTGTAACTGCATCATGTAATGAATAAGAGAAGTAAACGGACAAACATTTTTGTCAAATATGCGATTAAGGTGGCAGTAGTTAATTAGATGTAATATATTCCATAGTCTCCATCTGCCCCCACTAGTTTATCACCGTTTACATTTTTATATATATGCTGATATATATTTTAATTAATTTGGAG